AAATTATCGCAACGTGGTCTCTCTGGGTAAGGGTTTGCTTCTCCCCCACCAGAGAGTTTGGGATGACTTAGTTACCTGCCATCAGCTACATCCTATTAAGAAAATCGCCAATCAGATGTCATCACTTGGGAGGGAGAAGGAAAAGATCTGGCCTTCTCCTGCTCCAAGGAAGGAAGGACGTCAATGGCTCTCTGCTTAGATGCATTTCTGATCTGGGGAATTTTTCCATTTCTATTTAAAGGTATCAGTGAGAAACTCACTCCTTGGGTTGAGTATATGCTCAGCTCCATCACACTGATTTCATCCTTTTGGGTCCAGATGCTTCCCTGTCTGTCCTCTGAAGGATTCTCATTTATTCAGGCTGTTGGGTTAATAACTTGTGTTCCTTTTGATTTCTATCCTGAGCCTTGGGGTGAAGGGCAAAATGGTGCTGTTTTTCCATTGCAAACATGCTGTTTAGGGTTAAGAGAAGAACACTAGCATTTTTTTCTCTGCAACTTTGTGATTTTGTCATTTGAAAAATGAATAGCAAATGGAAGGTAGTTTGGGTAGGAAGAAAAGGACGAATTTCAAAATTGATTTAGTTCTCACTGGTTATTCCTGTTATTGACCATCCTCCGATAAATGTTAGGTTTTCTCCTAATGCCTCCTTGGATGTTTCCCCGGATGCTTCCTGAACTCAACGCTGACTCTGGGTAAGATTTGACTATATAAGGATAATTATAAACAAACCAGATGCTGTAGAAGTTTTCAAAGCTTTTATGGCTCATGATTATAGAAATTATCATTTCTATACCATGTGATTGTAAGTATACAAATGTGCAATATTTTGGAATTTGGCAAAAATTCAGAAGGAAAATTATATGACTTCCTACAGTTTGATCGTTTCCCCCATTCTTGCTATCATTTTCATTTCTCTATTCCTTTGAAGGTGGTCCTGGCTATGAGAATAAAGATCCCAGTGAAAAATTCCAAATGATCAGGCATGGAGGCGGAATGGACAAGGAAATGGAGATGCAACTAGAAAGTCATGAGAGAAGCCAGTCAAAGATTTGGAATCAGGAAAACCCATCTTCCATGGATGCTGAGACGCAAGGCTTTCTTGCCCAACAAGGAAAAATAAAGGAAAAGTATACTGGAAAAAGTATAAGACTATTAAAAGACAAATTAGTTGTAAATGAACACTCTCCAACCCAAACCAAAGGAGAAGATTATATATGCAGAGACGATGGAAAAAATCACAATTGGACTTTCACTCTTTCCTGTGAAAATGGGTCCCTTACATCTCATAAAACGATCCAGACAGGGGAGAAGCCATATAAATGCATGGAGTGTGGAAAGAGCTTTCGTACTAAGAATAAACTTACTTCCCATAACAGGATCCACACAGGGGAGAAACCACATGAATGTGTGGAGTGTGGAAAGAGCTTCAGGCAGAGCAGTCACCTTATTTCCCATAACTGGATCCACACAGGGCAGAAGCCATATAAATGCATGGAGTGTGGAAAGACCTTTCGTACTAGGAGTGAACTTACTTCCCATGAAAGGATCCACACAGGGGAGAAACCACAGGAATGTATGGAGTGCGGAAAGAGGTTCTCTCAAAATACATCCCTTGTGATACATAAAAGGATCCACACAGGGGAGAAACCATATAAATGCATGGAGTGTGGAAAGAGCTTCATTCATAGTTATTCCCTTACCTCCCATAACAGGATCCACACAGAGGAGAAACCATATAAATGCATGGAGTGTGGAAAGAGCTTCAGTCATAGTAATTCCCTTACTTCCCATAACAGGATCCACACAGGGGAGAAACCATATAAATGCATGGAGTGTGGAAAGAGCTTCAGTCATAGTAATTCCCTTACTTCCCATAACAGGATCCACACAGGGGAGAAACCATATAAATGCATGGAGTGTGGAAAGAGCTTCAGTCATAGTAATTCCCTTACTTCCCATAACAGGATCCACACAGGGGAGAAACCATATAAATGCATGGAGTGTGGAAAGACTTTTACTCAAAACAGTAATCTTACTTCCCATAAAAGAACCCACACAGGGGAGAAGCCATATAAATGCTTGGAGTGTGGAAAGAGCTTCTGTGAAAATACATCCCTTATGACACATAACAGGATCCATACAGGGGAGAAACCATATGGCTGCATGGAGTGTGGAAAGAGCTTCAGAAGAAGCAGTCATCTTATTCTCCATAAAAGGATCCACACAGGGGAGAAGCCATATAAGTGCATGAAGTGTGGAAAGAGGTTCAGTCATAGTAATTCCCTTATTTACCATAAAAGGATTCACATAGGAGAGAAACCATATAAATGCATGGAGTGTGGAAAGACCTTCAGCCAACTCAGTAATCTTACTTCCCATAAAAGGATCCATACAGGGGAGAAGCCATATAACTGCACGGAGTGTGGAAAGAGCTTTGCTCACAAGGAAAATCTGAATACCCATAAAAGAATCCACACAGGGGAGAAGCCATATAAATGCATGGAGTGTGGAAAGAGCTTCTGCGAAAGTACATCCCTTAGAAGGCATAACAGGATCCACACAGGGGAAAAACCACATGAATGCATGGAGTGTGGAAAGAGCTTCAGAAGAAGCAGTCATCTTATTGTCCATAAAAGGATCCACACAGGGGAGAAGCCATATAAGTGCATGGAGTGTGGAAAGACTTTTACTCAAAACAGTAATCTTTCTTACCATAAAAGTATCCACACAGGGGAGAAGCCATATAAATGCATGGAGTGTGGAAAGAGCTTCAGAAGAAGCAGTCATCTTATTGTCCATAAAAGGATCCACACAGGGGAGAAGCCATATAAGTGCATGGAGTGTGGAAAGACTTTTACTCAAAACAGTAATCTTTCTTACCATAAAAGTATCCACACAGGGGAGAAGCCATATAAATGCATGGAGTGTGGAAAGAGCTTTCGTACTAGGAGTGAACTTACTTCCCATAACAGGATCCACACAGGGGAGAAGCCATATAAATGCATGGAGTGTGGAAAGACTTTTACTCAAAACATGGAGTGTGGAAAGAGCTTTCGTACTAGGAGTGAACTTACTTCCCATAACAGGATCCACACAGGGGAGAAGCCATACAAGTGCATGGAATGTGGAAAGAGCTTTGCTCAGAAGGAAAATCTGAATTCCCATAAAAGCATCCACACAGGGGAAAAGCCATATAAATGCATGGAGTGTGGAAAGAGCTTTCGTACTAGGAGTGAACTTACTTCCCATAACAGGATCCACACAGGGGAGAAACCATATAAATGCATGGAGTGTAGAAAATGCTTTACTACTAGCAGTACTCTTACTTCCCATAACAGGATCCACATAGGGGAGAAGCCATATAAATG